TCAGTCAAATCACCTCCACTCTCTTCTCTGGCTCCAAGCTACATACTTAAGACTGTACTGTCCTTCCTAAGAGAGAAGCGAAGAGAGAGTTCAGGACCTTTTGGCAGGTGCTGGTTCTAGAGAAGGACTTAGCAAGCCGGTTCTCTCAGGACCTTTCAAACCTCCTCTGGGAGTACAGGGATAGGAAAGGCAGACTTCACAGGTCACCAAAGCACTGGGTGTCTGTATTTATTTCAGGCCTGCTGAGTCTCACAGCCATTTTGGAGACACTGACTGTGATGGCTAAAGAGGGGTGAAGCTGATGGGAGGCCCTGATGATTCTCCTCTGATGGTTCTTTTCTCTCTTAGAAGGAGCCATCTCCTGCTTTTCTTGATCAGATTTATAACTTTTCAATGGAACTGCCTCCATAAAGCCCTCTTCACTCCCAGATCTAGCTGGATACACATCCATTGTGGCTCTTGGCAGAGCACTTAGTGAGGGAGATGTGGAGGCAGAATGACTCTGGGGCAAATTCTGTCCCTGCCCCTTGAGCAAGGTTGGGGATTTGAGGGAACCTCAGACTCCTCATCTGGGTCTTTGTGAGACCTCGGTGAGATCCTGCAGGAAAGACTGTGTTGTAATTACTTTTTATCTATGGAACGTTCCTGTTAACCTAAGTGCACGATGTCTTCCTCAGTACTGCAGTCCAGGTGTCTGATAAGACCGAAGGTGCTGTACAAATGCAGCTAGTCATTGCACATCTGGATCTGCAAAGGGCACCTTCTATAAGTCAAGGTCAGTGGACTTGGCCTGCGTGCAGATTCTTATTAACGACTGATGGACTTTTCAAATATCTCTTATGAAGACAAACCTGCAGCTTCTGAAAGGACTCCCTTATACTGCTACATAATTCTCACTGCAAAGGTTTTGACATTAAATTTGAGAACCTTAAAGTGCCATGAAATTTGATGTTCTTTTCTAAAACAATAACAAAACCCTGCTATTAATGTCAGAATTTGTTTTGAGAAACTATTATACAAATGAACTATCATTGTATGTACTTGCTGATTGTGGGCAAATAGGATAAATTGGGGTGGACATAATCCTGTCACCCATTTGTATTTTCTTCAAGGCTTTTAAAAATGCACAGTTAAGAATTTTAAGCTGGCTGTAATAATGCACTAAAACTTGCACACTGCCTTCCCCCATTTAATCTATAACAGACTTCATGCATTACTGATTTTAAAAGTTTCTGAAAAGAAAGAGAATGGAATTGAGATCTAGAAGAATTAATTTGAATAATTAAGATTGCAATCCACTTCATATTTAAAAGACACAATGATATTGTGTAATTATGTTCTCTAATTTTCAAATGATATTTGGCAGGACTTTTGATTACTGAGACTTTTTAAAAATTTTTTGGAAAATGTTATAATTTCATATAGTTTTTATAATTTCTTTTATAATTTCTTCTGTAATAAACATATTCATGCTCATTATATAATAACATTCCAAAAAACAATTTAATATTAATATTCATTGAACATTGACTAAATGCCCAGCACTGTTCTAAATGTTCTGTATAGATTAACTCATTTAATTCCTCACAACACCTCAACGAAGCATAGAGAGATTAAGTAACTCGTCCACAGCATGCACATCTACAAGTATGAGCCAGGAATCCGTCATTATATTATGATGTTCTAGGAGTACAAGCAATCAATAATTTATTCAATCAAGTCATCCACTGCTTCAGAGCATAGTGTCACAAGTAAGAAACAGTTCATATTAACACTGTACCCTTTATAGTTATGTGAAATTATTATAAACCAACATCTCTCTGTCCCTGTGGAACAATTAGTAAAATTAGAAGTCTTCTGTGGCATGAGCTAAGATTCCAATCAGACCAATTCTGTGTGCCTGATGTGCACTAAGGAAACACAAACACACACACACACAGAAGCTTGAAAGGGTTTGTTTTAAAGATGGAAGCATTTTTAAAATTTTGCAAATTTTAGCAAATGATTCAATGAGTAGAGTCCCTGAATTAACTGAACATCCATTCTCACAAAAATTTTAAAATAAAACAAATGCTCACAAACAATCCTAACACTTCTAGTGGCTTATCTGTTGGCCTTGCATATCAGTACATGTAAAAGCAAATAACCGGATACCCTTAGGTCACATTTTTTCATACTTAAATTAAAATAAAGACAAATACTTCTTCTGTTCCTGGTTTAATTTCCTGTCAAAGGCTAATAAACACAACTATTTGAAATTAAAAAAAACTATTTTAAATTTAAAAGATAATTAATGAAATGTTTCTGATTGGCCCTAAAAATACCATGCAACTGTAACTTCAGCTCTAAAAACATATTAAAATTATTAACCCTTCAATAATAATTATTCATACTGCTGTGGTAGAAACATGACAAACACATACACATACTTGAACACATAAAAAACAGGTACCTTCTTTAGAATTTCTATCTAGCATTTCCGGAAGGTTCGGGCTGCCATCTTATAATTTAACCATCAGCTTGCTCATTAAGCTAACTAAAACATCTAATATTTTGAACATTTATTGTAGGTTAGGTACAAAGTGTTTTCTGAAAATAGTGTCATACATTTATTAAAATCCTAGAGATAGAGGCCACTACTATCCCTGTTTTATAAATTAGACAAAAATTGCTAAATAACTAATATTCTTATCCAGGTCTGTCTAACACCAAAGCCCATACCCCAAACCTCTGTTAAACTGCTTATCTTCCCAATTAAGGTTCATAAAAATTTATTTGGCTTCTACAACTTACCTTTGTATGTTCAACTTAATCTGAAATAAGACAAAAAAACAAACAAATCCACCTAATGAAAATCTAACACAGCAAATGACATAATATAAATCTGATTTTTTTATTGCTAGACAGAAAAGGTATTTAACGTTAAAAAAAAAAAAAAAAACCTAAATTGGTATTAGTTAACCATTTCCTCAAATTTTTTAACCATGAAGGCTTTTGCTGTCACAACTTGACAAACAACCATGTTCTCTAACAAGTGACAACACAAACCCAAGACCACAAATCTAATTGTTGGAGAGCTAGTCTTTCAAATAAGATTGGGGCTTTTCTACACAGAATTTTTTAGTCTCTTGTGAAACAGATTCACATTTCTGTATATTTCTACACAAAATCATGCCCAGAGCCCCCTACCTAGTAAATTATTTGGGCTACATACAACTGCATTGTTTATAAGGCCTAAAGACACAGTAGTTAGACTGTTCTGCATTTTTTTTCTGGACTTAAACCAGAGCTTTATGGTGCTGGTTAACTGTTAAGGAAGGTGAAGGGACAGAACGTTTGATCCAAAAGTCCTCTTGTCATTTAAGTCTTTACAATGTTTGATTACCTTTAAAAATTGTGTGTGTGAACCGCAAATTTGTTTATTGGAAAAGGGCCTTGCTAATCTACATAGTTTGGTTTAAAATAAAACAAACCAACCCAGCTCCTTATTTGAAAGTGATTGTTTTGGCAATAGTAAAATTCAATCCCGTCATCCTAACGCTGCCTGCCTTCCCGGTTCTGCTGGGGGAGGGCCGGGATCCGGTAGTAATTTACATTGAGAGCCCAGAAGCAGCAGCAATGGTGCAACGTGGTGACTAGCACTTTAAAAACAAGGCCAAACTCTCCTTTTGCCATAGAGAACACACAGACACAGACCCTGCCTCTGACAACATCCGAAAGATTCATTATAGACAATCTATTCAGGCGAAGCTTCAACTGCCCCAGGAAATATAAACAGTGTCCGCAGAGACAGCGGTGGGGAGAGGAAATCACTGATGGAAAGGAAGCTAATCATGTGGAGTTTGTCCAACTCCACCAAGTCTAATAAATTCCGGATTTGTTTCCACTCGGAGCAGCCATTAAACGTGCGCTGGCACGTGGGCGCAGGGGACCTGCCTTCTAACTCCGGGGGTTTGGCCAGTCCTTCCCGGTCCCCTTGTTTGTATACAGCCACGCCCGCACAGGATGACCACACGATGACAGGCCTCTTCAGGTCCCTCACTCCGATTTCCAGTTGTCCAAAGTTTCACTCCAACCGCGTGAGTTCAACGAGAATCACGCTTCCCTTTTCGGAAGTTATGAATGGTTTAAGTCAAGTTTACGAGATACACAAGGCAAGGGACAAGAGAGTGTCCGGAGACGCTAGTGACCGCGTTTCAAAATTAGTTTTAATGATATGCCTAATTAAAATGAAAAGTCACCCTGATCGACGAAGGAAGTGTCCGGGCAAGGCTTTTAAAAAAAAAAACAAAAAAAAAAACACATTTTACCCCCCCCTGTGAATTTTTCCCTTTTCTCCCCTCCCACCCACAAATACAGTCTGCAAAAGGGCAGCCTCCGGGTCCCCTGCGGGGTGTGTCATCAGGGTTCCCCTCTCGGTGACCCGCTATTTACCCGCTAGACCCCCAAACGCTTAGCGGGTGCCGAGGCTGCGCTCCTACCGGCCTGTCGCAAGAAAGCGAGGAAGAAAAGTAGGGAAGAGGGCGTGGCGTGCGGGTCGCCCCCAGACCCCAGCCTCTCGCTCCGCCCGGCCCCACCACCAGCACCGCTGGGGACAGTGGGGGCCTCCGCAACCCGCGCGGGGCGCGCTGCGGGAGTCAGGAGAAAGCGAGCGAGAAGGGGGGGATCGTTCTTCCCTCTCCCCCAACCCGCCGGCCCTGGCCCCAGCCCCTGAGACCCCGCTACCCGCGCGCTCCGGCCGCCGCCCGTCGAGGGCGCGCGCCGCCGGTCTCCGGGTCTCACAGTCCCTTGCCCTCCCTCCTCCACCCCCTTCTCCGGCGCCTAATGCCCCGACCAGTCCCCGCCCTCCGGGACACTCTTCCCTCCTTCCTTCCTTCCTTCCTCCGTTCCCTCCCTCCATCTCGCTTCCCAGCACCCGAACTCGCGGGCCGCCGCCCCGAGCTGCGCCCCTGACCCCACAGGGACCGACTGGGCACCCGCGCCCGCCGCTGGGCGCTCACTCGCCTTCCTGAGCGCTGGCCCCGCCGCCACCACCGCCGCCGCCGCTGCCGGGGACTCGGTCTCTAAGGGCTCCTGGAGACGGCAGCGACCTCTCCTCCTCCCGCTCCTCTGGGCGCCGGCTCCGCCTCGCTCGGGGTGGGCGGGGCGGACGGCCCGACGGGCGGGGCGGCTGCTAGGACTCCTTCCCCCCGCTCCCCGCCCTCCCTCCGCCCGGACGCCCGCGCGGTGCCGCGCTTCGGCCGCCCTGCGCGCGTCGGGTCCCGGCCCGCGGCGGGGAGACGTCGCGAGTGGGCGAAGCTCGTTAGTGGCTGGGCGCCCTTGGCCATTCCCACTCCCCCGAATTTTACCCGAAGACCTGGACTTAGATTCTGGGGCCTCCACTTCGCCACCGGCGAACGCTGGCCTCTCTGACTCCTTGCAAGTTTCCTCCGCGTGTGAACGCCTCGCCAGTCCTTATGGCAGCGGGTGCCCTGGGCTGCGAAGACAAGCGCTGCCAAACCCCTACACAAAAGTTAGGCTCTGATCCAAAAATGTCTGAGGAAAACAGCCTCGGTAACATTTAAAGGGCCCTGGGGCCACGGAGAGATTTTGTTTCCCAGAAGCAGAGGTATGACCAGATTGTTAAATTTGAAGTACATCCGCCCATCATGAGGTTTTCCCCCTCCACCTCCCCGCAACCGCATGAAATTTGTGTTTCCGAATTCCCAGAACTTGGCAGCGTTCTGCATAATGAATTAATTGGATTTGGTTGGCCTTTTCTGGATGGATTCGGGGTTGGGTAGATTGAAGAGCCACTTTCGCTTCCAGAGACTTCATACTCATCCATACCGCCTTTTCAAAAATAGAATTGAGCACCTGCTTCATTCCAAGTATGGTGCTGAAGGTGATGTGAAGCTAACAATCTGACAGGAGGCTTGCTCTCAAAAAGCTTCAAGCCCCCAAGCAAGTGGAGCACTCATGTAATTCTAGCAGCTCAGGAGGCTGAGGCAGGAGGATCACACTTTAGACCCAGCCCAAAATAAAAGGACTGGAGATGTAGCTCAGTGGTAGAGTGCTCCTGGATTGAATTCTCAGTATTTACAAATAAAATAAAGCTTCTGAATCTAGACAGAATAAAGAAGGTGAATGTACAGAAATTTACTATTTTACTACTCAGTAGATTGCTTGAGTATCTCTAGGTATCTTCCTTCTTGTTTGACGGGGTGGATAAAAGAGAAAGTGAGGCCTAAGTAAGTCAGAACCAGTGTGGGCAGAGTCCATGCTTGGAGTCGAAAAGCATTCGTGAAGGCTGTAAGTGTTGAGTTTCACCAGCTGAAGAGAAGTGGGCCCCAGGGAAGCTGGGCTTCAAGAACTGCTCTAATGACATTATCTTCACTCCTGCTTTCCCTTTGACCCCTACTCAAGTATCAGTTTTTGTGAAATCATTTGGATAGGGTGCAGAAGGAACAACCATACATTTCCTCTCCCTGCTATAGTTGGTGCCTTTTTCCAGGAGTATGGTCTTAGCAACCTGTGAATGGCTTGGTTGTTGGGGTGGGAGTCATAGCTTGCCAGAGAAGCCCTTTATTCCCTGCTCTGTACAACATTAGGAAACACTTGACTGATTCAGATACTGATAATTTGAAGGATTCACCCTAAACAGAATAGCCTGACAACAGAATTGACTCCAATGGCCCTACCACAAATTTCCTTTTCTAGTACACTATAGTTTATTAAGTGCTTTTGCGTACTTAATTTTATCCTTCTTTCATTAGTCTCTTTAAAAATCCAGAATTGAGGTGTAAGAGCTAAGTGGCTTATTGAAGGTTTTCTAGTTCAGTGCTATTCAAAGTATGGTCACAGACTAGCAATGGTCTATAAACTGTCATGCAAAGGGAACAGATATTGAAAGCGAGCCGGTAGAAACTTCTATAGCAGTTATGCCTGATGAATCGTTTAATCATTAAAAAACATATGGGCTTTTATTTTTGTATGTTGGTTTATTTCATAAGTATCATCCTTCAACAACTTGAAAATAAAATGCATTTGACCCTCCCTATCTATGGGTTCTGCATCTGCAGATTCTAATCCTCAGATTTAGCTCACTGCAGATTAAAACTATTTGAGAAAAAAAAAACTGAGTTAGTACTGAACAAGTACAGCCTTTTTTCTTGTCATTACTCCCTTTACAATGTAATATAACAACTATTAATGTAGCATTTACATTGTTTTAGGTATTATGAGTAATCTAGAGATGATTAAAGTATACAGAAGGATGTGCATAGGGTATATGCAAATACTACGTCATTTTATTTGAGACTTCGTTGTCCTCAGATTTTGGTATCCATAGGTTGTGGTGGTGGGAAGATGGTCCTAGAACCATTCCCAAGTGGGTATTGAGGAACAATTGCACTACAGATAGTTGGAAAATCCCTGATCGAATTAGTTGAAAGGCAAGAATAGTCAGAGCTAACGTTTAACCAGTACTTCCTGCATGGCAGATATTGCTTTAAGTGATTTATATGTATTAAATTATTTAATCCCCCTAACAACCCTGGCAGGTAGGCACGAGAAAGTTAAATGAAACAGAAAGTGGCAGAGCTAGGATTTAGACCCAGGCACCTGGCTCTACATTTTGTACTTTTACCGATGGCCTTGGATCCAGTGTTCTTTCTCTGCTGATATTTCCCAAACTTCAGTGACTCACATTTCATCTTCATATCACTGGATCTCCAACTTTTTATTTACATTATTTATTGAATCACTTTTGTTACTTCTTATATTTATTACCTGTGCAGTTAGTAATTCTACCCATGATATCATGAGTTGATAATCAAGTACTCTAGTTCATGTTAAAGTACATGATTAACCCCAGCAATAGCTGCCAGTGATGGTCATATCCCCTGTGATCCTTTTCCAACTTCATACATACTGGTTCCATATGTGTTTCCTGCCTACCAGCACCTGCATCTGGTGGTCAGAGTACCACATTCAGCTGCAGGATTTGCTTTGCCCGCACACAGAACAACTGGAAATGGTTAGTAATTAATGTCCTCTATTCTCACACTTGGCCTTTAACCAATGACAGACTAGTGTGGGGGTAAAAATACTCCAACTCTTTTGCAACAAATTTGGACAATTCTCAGTTGAATCAACACTGACAACAGAAGTCCCTCGCTATGTGGTGGGGCTAAATTCCTCTTTCCTCTATGGGACTTTCATATCACATCCTTGCTTAGCTTCTTCCTCTTCCCAGTTCCAGTTCTTACTCCCATATCAATTTTTCCTGGTAATATGTCCTAATCAGGAACTGCAACATGAATGGGGAGGGTGCTAATACATAATGAAAAATATTCACAAATTAATTAAGAATTTCAAAATGGCAGCAACCATGTATTAAACCAAGCATAGGGCTCTATATGACTCCACAGGTATGTGTGTAACTCTGGAAGTTACACATTAGTGAAGCCAACCTGTATTCTAATAAATCGTTTTCGCTTGTGTCCTCATCTCAAGGTCTGCTTCTGGGGAATCCCAAGCTAACATAGTCACTATTGAAGTAAAAATAAGCCTCGCCAGTTACCAAAAATCATCTGTGTAACATACTGGCGACCATCATTTCATACTGTAAGAGGCCCACCTTATAGGAGGATGTGTTATGCCAAGTCGTACATAGAGACTTGGTCACAGAAAGATGTATAGTAATTGAGAATGGTCTAGGTTAATGAGATGAGACGTCAGAAAAATCTGAGTTTCAGTCCCAATTCTGACAGGGATAGAAGTGTGAATCTGGGTGGTATCTTACAACTAAGTTTCCTGGAATCATGCATTTTGTGGGAAGGTTTTCTGGTGCATGATTAAAAGACACACAGGTAAGAAAGTGAAGGTGACAAACTGTGTGGAACGATAAACTACCTCTAAATGTGGGAACAGCTGAGGCCTCAGTTGGGCCTACAGCCCAGTGGGGGACTAACGTACAGTCACTCTTCAGAGTTGGTTCAAATTGAGTTCTGCGACTTGGACCTTTATATTTCCATATCCTACCTTTGCCCGGAAAAGGTAAACCTTTGGCAAAGCAGTTCCCCAGGGCAGTACTCAGTGATGGACCCCTGGGAGTACTCAGAGGCCAGTATTCCCAACAAGTGGGGAATAGCTAGGGCAGCCCTGAGCAGGGACCTGAGATAAGCTTCTCAGCATACACTACAGTCTGGTTATCTCCTGGATCTCATTTGGTTTCTAGTCGCTCACACAGGAATACACAGCTCAATGTTGGAGGGCCTGAACTTGGTCTTCTCTGCAGCACTGGGGCAATTATTAGTTGTACTTTCCCTTCCTGATATTGAATGCTTATTTAATTTCCTATTTTTTCCTCCAGACTTCTTTTACATTATTTCCTTCCCTTTATATGTTCTTGCTCTATATTTTCCACCCTCTCCTTCACTTGAAATAAACAAATGAATAAATCAGTTGCCTTATGAAGAAGTAGCAGTAGAATGGAGGGAAATTTGGGCTTTATGAGATGAGGTTTTGGGGATTAAATCCTGGCTTTGTCATTAGCAAACTGGTGAATTTGGGACAATCACTTGACCTTACTGCAACTGTGCTTGTCTTTAAATGAAAGGATTGCAAAAGAATGGTTTCTAAAGTCCCAATTCTATGAAAATTACATTTATAAATGAAGTGGCTTTCTTCATTACACATCCCTCACAAAGCAAGCAAGAAAATGATTTAACATCTCAGGCCAGCCAAATTTTAAAATTAATTGCAATTCATGCATGAATATAATGTGAACTTTTATTCACTATTCAATAACAACATCCTAACAAAAGTATCAGAAAGAGATCATGAGGAAATATGAAAAAAAAAAAAAAAAAAGGCAAACCAGTCAGTCTATGGGTGACCAGATAAGTATCCACAGACTTCAGAACAATTTGTATGGGGTAGCTGCTTTGCTTCCTGGGTATTTTACTTGTCCTGTTGCATATGGCCATGCTCTGTCTGAACCTGTCCTGGAGAGCTACCTTTTTGTGAGTAGGATACCTAGGCAAGTGTGTTCACAAACTGGTTTTTCTGCTCAGTCAGAGGCTGCCATATTCCCATGAAGAAGTCAAGTCAGG